AGGAAGGAGTGCCCAAAGGTCCATGCGAGATATACGAGTTACGGTGGTGGTGGAATGTGGATGGGGATGGGGTGGGGACGTTATCTATCCCGAAACCGAGACCAGAGAAGATATGTGTGCCGGTGTCGGTGGCGCGCCCGGGCGAGGAGTGGGTGGGTGGCCAAGAAAGGAGGCGGAGGACGGATCGGAAGAAGGGAAAAGCGTGGCGGTCGTGAGGTCGCTCATTGAATCGGTGAATCGAATCTGAGCATTGCTTGGTCGTCGGGAGGCGAGGGTGTATGTACAATGGAGGGGGGTGTCCTCGGTGGTGGATTCGGTGATGGATGGGGTGGGAATGCCACGATAAATAAAGATATTGCCGCTGAATTGATGGGTGGGGTGGGTGGGCGATGGGGTGCACCGGAAGCGATGAGATGGAGCGGAGAGCAGCAGCCGGGTGGTCTGGGGAGCGGTGGTGAAGACGGAATGGCGGTGGGGTCGTTGTCAAGAAGTTGGTGGATGAGGTGAATGGGATGTGATGGACGTTGGATGGAGAGCACGCGCCCCGCTCAATCCATGTCCATATCAATGTCATCCATCTCCTCCATCCCGCCCCAGCGCAAACTCTCGCCCGCACGGCGTCCATGCCCGTGTCCATGCCCATGCCCATACCTCCCATCCTTCTCCGCCTCCTCCTCCGCCTCGCCCTCCTCCTCCCTAACACCCCCCAGATCAAACTCAAACCCAAACTCATCCTCCTCCTCGCGCTTCCACACCCGCGCGCCCCCCCGCTCCCTCTCCCTTCCCCCTCCCCCGCCATACCCATACCCATACCCATACCCCCGCGCCCCATACGCATCCCCCTCCCCCTCCCCCTCCTCCCCGCCCTCGCCCTCGAGCTCCTCATCATCGCTCGGCGTCGATCGGCTGCGGCTCTGCTCCGACGACACGCTCGCCGACACGCTCACGCTCCGCGGCACGCTCCACGCGCTCCCCGCACTATGCTGCATCGCCTGCCCGTACCGCCCCCCGCCGCGCGTGCCCCCGTTACGCGCATGCGGCACCTCCACGACGCCCGCGCGCACCTCCGCCCCGCGCGGCACCTCGTAGTCGTGCATCCGCGGGCCCCCACCGCCGCCCGCACTCCCACTGCGCAGCGCATACTCGCCCGCCCCGCCGCCGCCGGACCCAAACGGCCCGCTCGCGCCCGACCCGAACGACGCAGACGCAGGCACGCCACCGCCCTCCTCGCCCTCGAGCGTCCCGCCGCTGACCCAGCGCGGCCACATCCCGCGGTCCTCCGGCAGACTCGTGCCCGTCTCCGAGTCGGGCGAGAGGTGCGAGAGGATCGCGGCGGCCTCGAGCAGCTGCACCTGCGCGTGCTTGCTGAGCACGCCGCCGCCGCCGCCGGAGGCGGAGGAGGAGGTGTGCGGGAGGGAGGAGAGCGTGCGCCAGTGCGGGGTGTGCTCCCAGCGGTGTTTGATGAGGCAGGAGGGGTGGCGGTAGATCTGGGATGGGGGTTAGCACGGGTATTTTTTTTTTGGGAGAAATTGGGGGGAGGGGAGGAGAACGGAGGAGTGGGAAGGGAGGAACGAGGAACCGAGGATGCCCCGAAACCCGCACAGCGAGCAATTCGAGGCGTCCAACGAAGAGGATAGAGGCTCGGATTTAACAGCCGAAGATACCCCGCAAAGGCGAAGTAGAAGGAGGAAAGAGGCTCAAGAAAGAATGGAAGGGTAGGGTCGAGAACGACGTCACGAAGGGAGAAGAGAAGGAGGGATAAGAAAGTCCAAGACCGACGGCGAAGAGAACGACGGTAGATTGGCGAAGGTGAAGGAAAAGTGAAGGGAGATGGATCGAGATGAGAATAGGGGGGAAAATATAGAGGTTTCGGGAAGGGAAGAGGAGTGGAGCCGGCGGAGGAAAAGAGAAGTGGAGGGGCGGAAGAGAAGAAAAGGGAGTGGTAGAAGACGAGAAGAAAGGTAAAGAGGAACGGGAGGTAGGATTCAAGAAGGGAAGTAAGGGAGTGGTCGGAAGACAAGAAGGTTAACAGGAAAGGGAGGATTGGGAAGAATGACCCAGAACGGTATGTGAAGGGAGGGAAAGAGGTTACTCCGAAGTAGGACGAAGGGATGAATAAATATGGGTGTGGAGGGTGGGGGAGGTATATGCGATTTATAAAGGAATGAAGGGGGGAGCACAGATATCTGGATGCATGAAAGCAACGACCGCCAATAAACGGGAAGGACAAATGTGGAAATAAAGCGGATTCGGGGAGTGGGCGGTAGGGCGGCGCCCGGGAGAGGACGTGGCACATAAACCCGCAAGGGGTTAAATGAGCGGGGAATGGGGAAGTGGGGAGAGATGAAGAAGAATGGGAGGGAGGTGTGGTGATAAAGAGTACGGCGTGGCATGGTGGTAGGCGGGAATGAAGGTACAGAAAGTCAAGGAGGGAAATTTCCTCGAAGAACAAAAAAATCCCCGAAGGAAAAAAAATAAAGCAACAACATAGGTGCCACGGAGGATAACGCCTATCCACCACAGCAGTCCCCAGTCATACGCAGTCATCCTCGCAGCCCAACCCGCCTCGAAAAGCACAGTCGCTGCTGTGGAAGCAGTTACGTAATGCGCATGACGGAACAAGGGAAAGGCGATCTGCGGCGAGGGGCTGCGGGTGCGAGCAAGAAAAAAAAATGCAAGACAGGAGCACTCCACAAAGGAGGGAAATGTGCAGCGGTGAAGGGATGGAGGGATGGATGGGGAGACTTAATGCTGCTGCGTCATCATTCGTGATTGGCATCGAAAATCACAGATGCGCGGCGGGAGAAAAAAAAAGCGGGGAGGAAAGGTGGAGGGTGCAAGTGCAGGGCGAGGGAGTGAAGGCGAGGGTATGGGAGGGTATGTGGAGGGATAGAGAGATAAGGATATGGGGAGCGAAGGGATAGAATAGAGAACAGCTGTATGACAACCGACCTTCGAACAAGACTCGCACTTGTGGTCGACCCCGCGCTTCTTGCGGCCAGCTGCGCTCTGCGCGATAGGAATGGGGGTGCTGCTCTTCGCCGGAGCGCTGGCGGGCATAAAGACAGCGGAGGGCGGCGGGGAGGCGGAGGTGGAGAGCGACAACGCGGCCATGGACAGCGCGGGGACGCCGACGGATCTACGGCGATTGTGTGAGTCTTTGGGCGGCGCGGATGGACGGGTGGACGCACAACGGGCGGGTTGCTGCGTCTCTGGCGTCGCTTAGCCGCCTGCGACGCCCTGTGGACGAGAGACGACGGTGGTGCGACGGGGCTTGCGGGTGCTTGGCATTGGGTGCACCGGGGTCGGGGAGGGGGATGGGCTGGACCTGGGCGGCGGCGATGGAGAGGGAGAGCAGGCTTTGGGCGGCCGAGTCCTGCGAATGCCCACGGATTAGTCAAGAAAGGTAGCGAAGGGCGGTTGACGTACTTGAGACATGGTGGACAGAGATACAAGGATACAAGGGTACAAGGACAGGGTACACAGAGACTTGGCTAGAGGCTCATTAGACAACAAAGTGGCAGCCAGGAGAAGGACAGAGACACCGCGATCAATCTCCCCACCAAATTTCTCAAAGAGTCACATGAGCCATTATCCGCCAGATTCGTAAACCTCGCCTCCCATCCCGCGGCCATGCGATGAAAGGCCCTGCAGGTCAGCTTCGTCGCATCCAACAATTTCGGCGGTTCCAGGTGGCCGCGCTGGATTAGCAGACGTTTCAAGTTTCTGGTAGCCTTAGGTGGACCGTGGACGAGATGCTTGTTCAAAGCCTGCAAAACCCCTCTTCTACACGTACTCGCCTTCTAGAAGCTAGACCTATACCTCAAATTCTTTCTCAATGACGCACGTTGGCAAAATTTGACCCCGCCCCCTATCACCGATTTTTTTAAAGCTGAGTAAAGGCTGATTTACTTGGTGACCGTCTCAAGGCGTCTATGGTAAGCGCTAGCTTCGAAGAGGTCCGCCGGCGACGATCTCCGAGACGAGGCTGCAGTCAAAAAGCCGACTCGTAAGCAAGTTGCTGCGGACAATAATTCCGGCGTCTGAACTCGGACGCCCACTCTCGAGCTCAAAGCGCTCTCGCAAGTCCCAACCCCTGCTGAAAATCACAACCCCACAAGTACTAGCCCTCGCCTCGGACGTCGATCCGGATCCCCTTCTCCCCTTCCCTTCCCAAACGTGGCCACCACTCGCTTCATACGTATTATACCCCTCTGCGCATATCACGTCGATTCCCCGCGCTATCGCCCGGCACCTCGTGCACAAGTAGTCGAAACTGGGAGTCCCTTGGTCCGTCGCGTTGTCACCTCGAATTTGACGAGGCTTTTATTACGGTCAACCAATGTCAATGGTCAACAGTTAGAACAGCGTTGATGTAGGCGACTACTGGACTAAGCTCTCCCCAATTACGCCTAGGACCTCCGCCGGAATCTCCAGCCTTCTCGTCGACGACACCCTCTTCCCTCCCAGCCAAACCTCCTCCGCGGTCCACCTAAACCCTCATTACCCGAACCCCCGACCAAAAAAACATAGCAGACGCCATGGCTCAGGCGTGATTCGAACACGCTCCTCCTGCTGAATTGTCTTGCATATGCACTAGAAATTTCTGCAGGCGTGGTCCCATCTATCCACCACCGAGCCGTTCTCAGGTCAACTTCGAACTTCTCTCACTGTGATTATTTCTGAACGGAACCAAAAAAAAAAAAAAGTTAGGTGAGCATGAGTTTAGTGGTTCGGGCCTGATTCGAACAGGCTGCTCCTGCTTGATCCTGTTCAGTTACGCGAACATTCACCGGAAGCAGGCGTGGGCCACCCACCACCGAGCTTTCTTGGAATCGTCTCTCCATTGGAGTTAGTGTTCTCAACCATAAATTTGTCAGGCTCCCAGCTGAATTCGAAGTTCGTCGACGGAAAGAAAAAATCCGTCGCAATTTCACAGCTGTGTTTCCTTCTGCCAATGTGCCCATCCCGAGAAAAAGATGTCGTCTGAACTCAAATCAGGGCTCAGGCGCGATTCGAACACGCTCCTCCTGCTTGCCTCCTGCTGAATTGTCTTGCATATGCATTGGAATTTTCTGCAGGCGTGGTTCCATCCATCCACCACCGAGCCGTTCTCTGCTTAGCTTTGAACTCAGGTGAGTGTAATTATTTGCGATAGGAACAAGAAAAAGAAGGCGACTCATAACTGCATGACTTGGGCCTGATTCGAACATATTCCTATGGCTTGACTTGGGCTTGACTATGTGTTCTCTTATTATGTGAAGCAACAGGAAGCAGGTGTGGGCTGCCGACCACCGTGCCTTTCTCGTTTGGAGCGGTTCAACAACTTGAACCAAATCGAATCCATCACAACTTCCTGTTGAAACGGACTCTTTGTTGCAGGCAGACACATGTGTACATGTACAGCTTGTGCTACTTTTCAGTTTGCCAACTTTCAACTTATCCGGCACCGGCGACTGCCGATGTCAGGAATTGATCCTGATCTTGATCCACAACTTCCCGGTGCACCGCCACTAGATGTTCTATTTCCCAACGATCATGCCGCCTCCACGCAAGAACTGATTTCCTAGCGCTGCCCGCGAATCCAGGACTCACTGAGCCACCGCCAATTCCTGTGACTCTCGATGGACTTTCTTGTGCAGTGTATTTGCAAATTTTACAAATACACGCGCAAGACCAGAGAGCGGTACGCGTATGCCGCCGCGGCGGATTCCAAAGGAGAAGGCGAGGGTATGTCTGCAAGCCTGTATAAATGTCGACCGCAACAGCCTCGCAACCCTTCGGGCTTTTGACCCGTATGACGCCGCCCACGAGCAGCAGCAATTTGTGAGTCAAATGCTCTCCCCCCGACGTGGGAAGCTGGAGGAGTTGGCATCCGAGATGCTCGCGCTCGTAGAGTTTGGTGCGTTCTTTCGCTAATCAGTTGATGTAACAAATTCGTCTGAGATTGTCAAAGTCCGGGCAGAGATGCGAAGACCCTCCGCTGTCGAGACGGCCACGGATGAGACGATGAATGAGTGGCAGATAAGGTAAGTACTTTCAAGTCAGGCTGAGGCCTGAATGCTCAATATCAACCATACTTTATCATCTCTAGGTCAGGGAGCGAGACGTCACATGTCGATTGACCGGGGTCGGGACTATCAAACCCCAGAAGCTTAGCCCACTGAGCAGCTCAGAAGCCCAGGAACAGGTATATGCTGGCCGCGTCTTTGTACCCAATCTCCGGGTGGTCCACGGGCTACCGTTTCACATGGATCCGAAAGTTCGTCCTCCAATCTGTCTACTTCAAGTCCATGGTTCGATAGCCCTGACCAGTCCCTCGCGCTCGTGTGTACAGCGACTGGGTGACCGACAGCGTCGAGAACGCCTTCTTAGCGCAGCCCCCAGTCCACGAGATCTTCGGTATCTCGAGTGGCCGAACGGAGAAGTACATTTTTTCTTTTCTTTCTCGAATAAAGCAGGGATTGATTGATTGTTTTATCCAGATCTTCATCCGCGGCGGTACCGTGTATTTGAATGGGTTTTCCACCGACCGCTTCATGCGAACTCCTCAGCCCGGAGCATTCCTAGACACGCCAATTCGCCCCCGCTTCGATACTTCCATCCTTGAAATTGATCAAAAATATCTCATCTTGCACAAATTCACCGGCGACATTGTCTGGATGAGCGGGGGAGTTGGCCCGATCTCCGACGACGAAGAGGACGATGAGGACGATCTGGCTGTTTCGGACTCCAACATTTGCACGCTACTAGGAAAGCTCCGATCTCCGGCGGTGAATTTGCTACCGCGCGAGGGGGAAACAACGTTTGGGTCATAGATGGCGCTAGTACACAAGGACGACGTTTGGGAGCAATAACACTACAAGGTCCCACTGTGCATATTTTTCGAAACTAGCAGTGCCGTTTGGGCCGACATTCTTGGGACCACGGTTGGGATATGGCGACACAACTGGCGACCCGACTCCACCTGAGAACCCTCCGTATCCTCTCCGTTCCCGCCACAGCCTCTTCCTCATCTGGTACTGTTCTCCCAGGTTTTTCCGCTCCGTGAATAGATGCAAAACATGTCGCCGAACGCCTTATCTTCCCAAATTCACAGCGGCTAGTAGAAAGCACTCTCTTCAAGGTCTGCAGATCTGGCTTGTCCGTCTCTCTGCCGGCGGCCGGTGGTCGCTGACTGAATCCAGATTCATCGCTATCGAAAGACTCCCCGATATTCCGAGATATACTTTCCCTTCCATCAGGATTCAGGAAGCCTTCCACTCGAGGGCCGACTCGGAGACTCGGAGTCGAAGGCAACCCAATTGTATTCCAAGACGATACGGTTTCCCAGTTCCGGGCGTTTCTGTTTTACTCGTATTCCAGGTACGTCGTCCGTGGCCAATTGAATCTATGACTGACCTTCTTTACCAGCCCTAACCAACTCCAGATTAATCGCGCATCCGCGCCTGATATGGACAGACTGTTGAACCTGATTCGGTTTGCCCATAAATATCTCCTGCGCGAGTGCCTCCTTTGGGCTCTCGAATCTCTGGAACATCTCCTTAACTCGGCAGCTACCATTTCGGAAAGCCAATGCCTTGAAATCTTCCACATGACGAACCTTTGCGCCCCTCTTTATCCGCTGGCTTGTGCTCGCATTTCCGAGTCACTGAAGGGCCAGTGGATCGATTACATCAAGTCCGATCCCCTCCGTATCATTCCCGCCATTCGACCTTGCAGAATCATTGGGGTACAAAAGCTTCCTCGTCGCTCTGTATACCGTCGTGCTCGAAATGCTCGACGTCCCTGGGGAGCCGGGGCATGCGTTGTTAGAGGGGTCAGCACGGCTTATATGCTTCGCATGTTTTCCGGTCGTTGGTTTCTTCTTCGCTCGTTCAAGGATTTCCAAGACACTGTGCCGGACGTTCATCTTCCCACATGTCCCCCTCGCTCAGTGTGTCGCTCTACCTTCTCTGAGATATGGGGAGTTTATATGGGGTCCCACGAAGAGGAGCCGTCCGATACGGCTCACGTGTTCAAAATAATCAGTGAGGGGAAGGTTGCGATAATCGAAGAGACGACGGGTGGTTCAGTCTCCTGCCCCGTAGATGTGGGGATAGACACCGCCATCGCTGACTTGAGCACTGCTATTGTAGATAATTATTTTGTACTCAGCAGCGGAAACATCGCGAATAAAAAAATCATTACCGAGGGAGACGGTTCGACAACAAAAGCGTTTAAGTACCAGATGGGAGCGAAATCATCGGCTGCCCATCCTTCGAGTGCAGGATATCAAAAGCCGGGGCCACTCCATCCCGTCTCACAGCTTCCTTCAGTGCTTTCATCCCCTCCCCACCCAGACATTCCGCGACAACAGCATATCCGTCTGGCAAGTCTGGCGACATGAGGATCTTTGTTATCCACCACTTGAGATGTTGCACCGCGTCAGGGACCTTGCAATTCCCAGGATACCAGACACCATAGCCCAAGAGCGGATGGCAGAAGCGGGTCCATGGCGTGGCGGTCATAAAAGTAGCGCAGATTACGTTTGGGAACCTTTGTCCCCACTTCCGCACTGCGTCGAATTCCGCCTCCAGCGCCTCGTCAATACGGTCCGGTTCGATGCCAGCTATTTCCGTGACACAAAATGATACCAGACAGGGTAACTCGTGAAGCGTGTGCTCGAGTGCCGAGAAGATATCCTGGCAACTTGTAAAAGAGAGAAGCTAGACACGATTGGGAGTGCTCACCTCTCTCCCGTGGTGGTTCTTCATGTAATGTATGTTCAACTCCTCGATTCGGGGTGTGTGCTTCGCAAGGGCTGCAAGAAGTGAGCGGTCCCAGAAGTAAATCATGCTGTTGAGTTCGACGACATCGCCTTTGGAAGCCTCGACTGCCGCCAAGACTCTCGAAAAATCTGAGCGCGGCTCCCAGTATATCGTAAGGCGCGACGTCCTTGAGCCCGGAAGAACGCTACAAGCAACGATGCCAGGGCCCTGGAAGCTGTCCAGTTTCGGCATATGTATCGAATCGAAAGTCACTGCAGGATATTCCAAATTGTCCGGGGGCGAATAGGAGGGAATGACGATTAGCTCAGTGATAGTGGAGTTTATCCGGAGGAACTGGGGAAGACGCAACGAATGCGGAATGGTGCAACTGACGAGTTGCGGGAAGGATACATGACAGAAGAGTTGAGAGAGCATTGTATGGGCGACGTGCATATCCTCGAGGTTGTTCATGAGCTGAATCGCGGATATGAAAGTGGTGCAAAATTTCTTCAGTGCATATTTCAGCTCAAGGCGTGGATAGCTGCCAAAAATTGGTCAAAGATCATCGGACGTGAACAAAGAAGATGAGGTGGTACATAACGAGCTCTCGTACTGCAGCAGCGGCCTCCTTTCGAGACACAACGGTTCTACAGCACTTGAGCGCTTGCGCGGGACTGTCGAAGGACAAGACGCGATAGATCCACTTCAAGCAGATAGCGTGGATCTGGTGACTAGTCCGGCAGAAAGCTAGGAGCCCCTGGAGGGGCACGCATCCTGAGATTTCGTGTATCAGCTCGGTTGGGAGCGCAGAAAGCCTGCTTCGATTTTCCATCCTCGTGGGAGTGGCGAGAAAAGAGTGTGATGCCATCATGACACATGATTTCACGCGGATCAATCCGGCATGTTGAAAGTTTAGGTTCAACTTTGGTTCAACTTTGGTTCAATTGTTCGTTAATGCCTTGCCGATGAGCTTGTACGAGATAAAATCTAACCAGGATCCGCTGTTCAAAACAGGTCCATAATCTAAGACTAGCCTTTCAGTCAAACGCGCGTATTTCTTTTTGAACAAAATCGAGTCCTGGCAGAGACTCCGAGCCACATATTGAGATCGACTGTCGAATTTTGTGGCCTGAGTCTCTATAGTGGTACTGTACAAGACCTACGAAGAAAAAATCCGGATTCCAGGGGAGAGGAGACTTGAGGTTTTCTCCGCCCAGCAGCATACATAAGAGGGTTCGTATATTGAGGCTGAAGATAAGGCACGAAAAGCTCGGTGGCGAATTTATCACGTCTGTTCTACATCGAAGGGACGTGATTCGGTTCCAAGCAAGTTCTTGTTCGAATCAGACCCGAGTGATTCTCATTTCCTCGTCGGCGTGACCTTTTCTACGAATGTTGAACTTTTGGAAGAACGTTTGCATCGTCAAGGACCCGGAGTTTAGAGTTGGATAACCAGTTTCAAACGATCAGGTTGAGAATCGATTATGATGGCAGTATGTTCGTCGCTGGGTTTCTGTGTTCTGGCCACCGCCCGTGCATCATGGGTGGGGTCGTAGCCGCTGGGGAGCGAGAAATACGAACTTGATGTAGAAGAAAGCAAGGCATGAAAGGCTCGGTGGTGAATGCATCGCGTCTGCTCCACATCAGCAGATGCCAGCAAACCCAGCAGAAGTTGCCTGTTCGAACCAGGTCCGAGCCAATGCTGATCTTGATCCCTTTTTCCCGTTCTTTTTGTGTTTAAGTCTATCGAGTTTGAGAAATACGGGGCTGTAAATCCTAGAGCCGAGCTGGCTCTCAATGCCGGAGTCTCCGTCGCTGGCTAGCCTTCCTTGAAAGCATAGTTCGGGCTTTTGAACGGGACAAAATCAACTGCAACACAAGTGCCAAGAGCCGCCTCGTCAACAAGCTTCTGAAGGGCAGATATTCCGCGCGGTATTTTCTCCCGGACAAGGTGTCCAGGGCCACGATCGAGGACATTGTCGACGCGGCCAACAACGCACCGTCAGGAAGCAATATGCAGTATGTCCTGGGTTATCTTCGCATTCCCCTGCTGACGTTGATTCGATCTTCAGGCCATGGAAAGTCTACTGCATCTCTGGAGACATCAAAGACACGATATCCACGGAAATTTAATGGTCGACGCGCACAAGAGCGGCGCACCGTATGTGGCGCGCTACGCCTACTGGCCTCCGACATTACCGGCGGATCACGCAGCTCGCAAGTTTGAATTTGAGAAGCGTTTTTATGCCGCCTTCGGGGTTGAGTGGGGCGATATGGAGGGCAGCCTGGGCAGGGCTGCCATCGCTGGCCGCAATTAGTCGGTCTTCTGTTTCTCGAGATCATGACTCATTACTAACCACATTTGAAGTGAATTTTTCAATGCTCCGATAGCCCTGATATTCACAATCAACAGTGAATTGCGTCAAGGGTCATGGATGGATCTCGGGTAACTTTTTCCACCTTGCTTGGTGTATCGGTCACGAATTTGATCCTGAGGTTGTTACAGGATGTGAAAGGCTCAGTGGTGAATGCTTACGTCTGCTCCACATCAATGAGTTTAAAACAATGTCAAGCAGCTGCTAAGTTGCCTGTTCGACCTAGGTCCGGGCCAATGTTGAAATGATCCATGTCTTTTGTTTCTTTTTTTTTGCAGCCATCTTGGTTTGTTGGGGCTGAAATTATATACCGTACTTGAAACCGGCCGCACTACGGTTTGGCACGCATTCAAGTTCAGTCGACGAGTGGCAGCGTTCCTCGAAGTCATGTTTCTTTTAAACTGGATAAAATCAGCCGCTCTTCTTGCATCGGAATACCAAGTAGGAAAGGCTCGGTGGTGAATGGATCACGTCCGCTTTCCATAGAAAGTCCCTTTCGAGCGGAAGGTGCCTGTTCGAATCAGGCCCGAGCCGTGATCAGAGAGTGATCATGCCGTCTTTTGCTTTACCGACGGCTTGCAAGGAGATGTTGGAGTAGCGACGACGTATTCGAGGTGATGAAAGGGTGCTGGTACGCTGTAGTACGTGCATGGTGAGTGCGGTTGGCACGATGTTGAAATCATCACAAAGAACGTGTTCGAATCGGGCTCGGGCCATGGACCAAGAAAAGGTGCCTTTTTGCTGGTTCTTGCGGTGGAACTAATGCTACATGTGTTGGTGTGAGTACAGGCTGAGAACGGCTCGGAGGTGGATGGTTCCACACCTACAGAGATTCGAGACCTTCGTAAGAGACGTGTGTTCGAATCACGCCTGAGCCATGATACGATACTGTATCGCGAGGGGCGTGTTTCTTTTTGAGAAAAAATTAGAGGCTCTTGACATACTGTCAAGGTCGAACCGGAGTCGAGTAAGGCTTGGTGGTGGATGGTCCACGTCGGTAAAAAGTGTGGGTAAAAAGTGTCATTAACTCAACCAACCGTAGCGTGTTCGAATCACGCCCGAGCCATGAGCATGATGGCAGAAGTTTTTTTCCTCTTTTGAAGGAATTCCAAGTTTTCCACTCGAGAATGAGCTTCCTGAACATTGCCCGTCAAGTCGTTCTCACAGAAATGGTTCAGTCGTGGCAGAAATCTACGGTGGAATCCAAGAAGGAATACCAGGATTGCACCAGTGTCGGATTTGGGCCGTGGACGTCGGAATCGGGCCTGGGGGGGATGACCCAATTTTTGAACGAGTCAAAGTCAATGTTGAACTTTCGGTGGCAGTGGCGGCGGCGGTGTCGGAGAGGGTGCCGTGCAACAGGGCCAAATACGCTCCTGGTTCCTGCGCTCACCGATGTCGCCAGCCTTTTGTCTATGCGCGTTATTCGCGGCCGCGGGGAGTGACGGGGATGAGGCAGGAACGTGACACGAGACTGGACGAAGAAGACGCGTCCTGTCGATCGAGTCGCTTGACAGGCAGGCCAAATAAAATAAAATATTATAATAACTCAGCGCTGCTTGGCCCGGGGGCCCACCTGCAGCATGTCCTTTGCCGTCCTGCGCGCCCTGCACGCCATCCTCGCCGACGCCCTCAACGACATTGAGCTCGTCTACGCCAATGCTGAGCAGTCCCCGCCCCCGCCGACCCACAAGAAGGCAAACTCCTTCTCCCGCGCGTATGCAAGTCCCCCGCCGTCGCCCTCGTCTGCCTCGTCTACCCAGAGCTCGTCGTTCACCGGAACTGGTCTCGATTTCCCTTCCCTGGATGCCCCGTACGACCCCGCCTCGCCCAGCGAGCAGCTCGCGGCGCACCCGACCGTCGTCGCTGCGATAAACCGCATCGTCGCCGCGGCAGGACAAATGGCCGCGACCGTGCAGGTGCCGTTCCTCACCCTCTGCGACGCCGCCATGGGCTACCACCTCCCGAGCTGTCTGCGTCTTCTCGAGGCCGCGCACGTCCCCGAGGTCCTGCGCGACGGCCCCGTGCATGTGCGCGAAATCGCCGCGCGGACGGGCGTCGAGCAGGCGAAGCTTGGTGGGGCTCTCTTTCTCTTTCTGAGGGGATTTTTGTTCACAAAGATTGCAGCACACATCCTCCGTCTGCTCGCGACGCACCATATCCTTCGCGAGGCCGCGCCGGACGTCTTTGCCGTCAACCGCATCAGCTCCCTCATCGACTCTGGCAAGCCGCTGCACGCTCTCGTCGGAAAGTACGTCCCTTCCTTCTGCTTTTCCGATTTGCTCGTTTTTTCTTCGCGTTTCTACTTTTTTTCTTCTTCGTTCCTTTCCGTCCAATTTCTTTCCGTTCCCCTTCATCATGCCTTTCCCTTTCCTCTCTGCATATTCCCTTCCCTTTCCCTCCCTCCCTCGCTCGCCCCTCGGTACCCGCTGCCAAAAAAAATCCGCTCCTTCCCACTTCATTCACGCTCACGCGCCTGTGGCACGCGTCAGGCGCGCTGACAGCCTTCCTTCTTCCTTTACGCTTTCCCTTCCTGTCGGCGTCTGCCAGATATGGACACTTCTTGACGCGTTCACACTCTGCTTGACGCGTCTTGACGCGCTTCTGACGCGGTTTGGTAAACGGCCCCGCTTCGCGCCGGTCTTATCGGGCATAGTGCGCTGCCGGGCCGGGCGGGAGAGAAAGCGAGAGAGAGATGGCCGAGTGCCTGTGGCGCGTGGCGCGTGGCGCTGGGCGGGTCCGGGGGCAACGTAACCATACTATGCACCTACACTCCGGGCGGGTGCCTCGTTTTCGTTTCCGGCGCAATATTTCTCTTCCTTCTCTTTCTCTATTCGTTTTACCAGAGCCAGCACTGATTGCCTTTCTCTTTGACAGCCCGGAGCGCAAGTACGACGGCGACGACGCGAGTGCGGTCGCTGCGTTTATCGGATTGTGGTCCGTGTTTTTCTTCCTTATTTCCTTTTGTCTCCGTTTTTCTTGGATTTTCCGTCTCTCCCGCCGCGCCCCTGCCAAGGGTTCCTTATTTTGTTTCCTTGCTCGCCCCTTTTTTCGGTGGCTCCTTGTGTCTGGAATTTTCACATCTCCCGCCTCGTCGTGGGGGCATCCTGTACCCAGGCGCCGAATAGCGCGCATATATCCTCCTTCACGGGGCGTGGCTATGCGCCGCATCGTGTTGGGCGTCTTGGCCTGCTTGCTGTGTTGCTTTACAGGCTTTCCTCTTCCGTTGGAGGACGCTCGTTTTAGATTTTTTCACTTCCCGTGGCATCCTTTTGCTGAGGGTCGGGCTCTTGCTCGGGCGCGCACTATGGAGTCTCTCATTTCTCTGAAATCTGCGCGATAGAATCTTGTGTCAATGCGCCGAATAACGCGCATATATTCAGGTTTTCGTGCATCGACGCCCTCGCGTATATACCCACCTTTTTCACGCCCCGTCGTACATTTTCCCACTTTGCCTGCGCCTATGCTCCCCATCACTCGTTCCCTGGCTTACACACATTTTTCAGCACCGACGAGCTCTACAAATCGAGCGCATACCTCACCGAGGCAGTCTTCCCCGGCGCCGCGCGGCTGTACCCCCCAGGATCCGGCCTCGATCTCAATCCGCGTTCCAATCCCAGCAACATTAGCTCCAAAACCAGCGTCAACACCACCGGCACCAGCACCAGCAATGGTAATGGCAACGTGCATGCGGTAGCGGGTGGGAGCGCTGGGAACGACCCGACCCGCGCGCCGTTCAATTACGCGTTTGGGTGCGGGGGCGTTGGGTATTTTGGGTGGTTGGAGGGGGAGGGGTGTGGTGCGGCTGTGTCTGGCGTGGCCTCCATTCCGGGTCCGGCTGTGAATGGGAGGATTGGGGAAAGGAACTCAAGTGCGAGTGGAGATGCGACCCCGCCGACCACGACTCCGAACCCGAACCCGAACCGGTTCCGGCTGGAGCGCTTCGGCAAGGCGATGAAGGGGACGGGGAGCTGGGAGGCGCCGGGTGCGGTGTTGCATGGTGGGTGCCGTCTTTCTCTTCACCCGCGTCTTTCATTTCCTTGTGCGTCTCCGTATGACTATGACTGATCATCATTTGGCGGCGCGTAGGCTTCGACTGGGGAGCGCTCCCGCGCGGGAGCGTTGTCGTGGACGTCGGCGGCGGGATCGGCTCGACGAGCATGCTGCTTGCGAGCGCGTATGCGGAGGTGGATGCGGATGGTGGGTGTTCCTTCTGCTTTCTTCTGCTTTTCTCTTCCTCCCTCCGTTCCTCCTTCCCCTCCTTCCCCTCCTTCCCCTCCTTCCCCTCCTTCCCCTCCTTCCCCTTATGCTCTTTCACTTCCACAAAACCGAGCACACACGCTGAAGGACCACACAGGCAGCGGCGGCCTGCGATTCGTGATCCAGGACCGACCGGTGGTGGTTGAGATGGGGGAGAAGGTTCGTCTTGTTCCAACACTTGACTTTGGAAGAATAAAGGAGGCTGATGTGCGTTTCGATTTGCAGGCGTGGCGCGTGAAGTGTCCTGAGCTCCTTGAGTCTGGCGCTGTACGGTTCCAGGGTGAGTTCATTCCTCGCTCTTATAACAGATCGAGGCTGACGACGCGTTCCCCGCCAGTGCACGACTTCTTCACTCCCCAACCCGTCACAGACGCCGCAGTCTTCCTCCTGCGCGTCGTACTGCACGACTGGCCGGACGCCTTCGCGCACCGCATCCTGCTACGTCTACGTGAGGCCGCCGCGCCACAAACGCAGTTGGTGCTGGCGGACTTTGTGCTGCCGTTAGCATGTGTGGATGACTTCGGAGTCGGCGAGACTGGGGGTGCGGAGACGCAAACGCAACCGGAGAGAGAGCCGCATGTGGAGGGCGCGGAGAAGAGACTGGCGCCCGCGCCGCTGCTCGCGAACCTCGGCAAGGCGAGCGCGAATGCGTATTGGATGGACCTTACGGTACGCCCTTTATGATATGAGTGAGCCCGCGGTTGACAGAGGTTCTCCCAGATGCAAGTGACGTTCAACGGGCAGGAGCGCACGCTACGGGAGACTGTCGCGCTCGCGCTGTCAGCGGGTTGGAAGGTCGTGCGCGTCACGAAGGCGCCCGGCTCGCTCTTCGGTCACATCGTCGCCGTGCCCGTCGCCGTGCCCGTTTCACCCCAGCGCCGCGCGCGCGCCGGCAGCGGCTCCGCGTTTTTCGATGTCGGGATGGGACTTGGCGTAAGTGGGGCTGCGAGTTCCGCACGGGGAGACGAGGAGAAGGAACTGGTGGAGCGCGCGAGCAGCCGCTGCGGCACACCGACGTTCGGCTCACGCGTGGACTTGCCGTCCGTCGCGGAAGCGCGCGCGCGGTTCGGCGGGAGTGTTGGTGTCGGGCGGAGGCCGTTTGGGTCGGGCACGAGAGGCGCGCTGCCGCCACCGCCGCTGAAGCAGGCTGCGGTGCTGACCGCACCGCAGGCAAGGAAGAAGAAGCCATCCCCGCTGTCTGTCCCACCACCGCCGTCCCCGTCCCCATCTTTGTTGCGCCCGGTTACGTCGCCTCGCCCGCAGCCCTCTTCGCCCATCGCGCGCCGAATGTCGCAAGCGCCGCTTCGACAACCGCCCCAGTCCCAGCCGTCTCTTGCGCCGTCGCCTGTCCCACGGCACGCGCCCCCGCCTTCGCCCATGTCTCCCCGCCTGTCGCTCAGCCGCCGCTCGTCGTACGCCCATTTATCGCAGCCCCCGCAATTGCGTAGTCAGCCGCCGACACCGCCGCCGCCTGTCCCTGCTATCGCGCACACGCTGCGCCACGCCCCCTCCTCGCCCGTCCTAAAGCAAGGCCCCCAGCATCAATACTACCCGCAGCCGAGTCCGCCGTCGCCCGTGCCGTCCCGCATTCCCGCGCTGACGCGCCGCGCGTCGCACGCGCAGCTACCGCAGACGGAGCTGCGTAAGCGCTCGGGGAGTATCGTGCACCCCGCGATGGTGCGCGCCGCAGGCGGTACTCCAGCCGGCGTGTATGCGCACGGGATGGGGAGTCTGCTGCTGCAGGGGCGCGCGAGCGGCGGCGCGCTTGACTTTGGGCGGCGACTGCGGCGGGATGACGCGGATGGG